TCTGTTGGTGGAGTTGGGGGTTTATCTGATTTTGCTAATTTTATTTCGCTATTTCGTGATATCTTTTTTGTTCCCAGAATTTCTGATAGGGTTTTCCAGGTCTTTTTTATATCACCTCGTAAGTTGGATAATCTGTTCTCATAATACAATTTTTTTGCCCTTTCTTATCAGCTGGTTAGGATTGACGAGTAACGTTTTGTTTGGTCTCTGGTTATGTGACCCATTCTGTACTGTTTTTCATATTGGTGTTTTGTATTTATGGATTTGAGAATGCTGGGTGTTAGCCAGGGACTGTTCAGTCTCTTAGCTGTCATCTGCTTAGTTTTTTTAGGGCAGTGCTTGTTATAGAGGTATTGAGTCTTTTTTAGAAAATATTAATACATTCGTCAATATCTGTATTGATTTCTAGCTCAGTGTGCCAATCAATGTTTGCTAATGCTGTTGTGAAGTTATTAATGGCTGCCTCATTGTGAAGTCTGAAGGTGACTTTAGTAGTGTCTTGGGGTAATTTACCAAGAGTTGTTATGAGGAAAGTAGGGTAGTGGTCTGTGGTATTAATCTGTAATTATGCCTGATTTTAAAGGGGATATGGTGTTGGTCCAGATGTGGTCAAGTAGGGAAACACTAGTCTCTGTAACTCTTGTAGGTTTTGTTACTGTTGGTAGCAACATACAGTTACTCATTGTGTTTGTGAATTCAGTAACGTGTGGGTCCTGGTCTTGCAGGAGATTTATATTGAAGTCACCTGAGAGTAGTAAGTGATCTTTGTTCATGCGTGCATCAGTTATCATACTTCCTAGGTTTTGACTAAATTGGCTAATGTTTGACTGTGGAACTCTGTAGATGTTTATCAATGTGAGAGGTTTTCGTAGGTATTTGGATTTGAATTTGGCTATTATATATTCCCCATGTTCATCTCTTGTGCAAGTATTAGTGATACATTCTAGGTGCTCAGAATACAACAGTCTAGAAGCATACACACATAAAGATACACAACATATCCCTCCAAACTGCCAATATCCCAAACCCCTCCTTTAAAGTGCAGGCATTGTACTTCCCATTTCCAGGACTCAAGTCCGACTATATGAAAATAACCGGTTTCCCTGAATCCCTTCACTAAATATTACCCTGCTCACACTTCAACAGATCGTCAGGTCCCAAGTACCATTCGTCTCCATTCACTCCTATCTAACACGCTCACGCACGCTTGCTGGAAGTCCAAGCCCCTACCCACAAAACCTCCTTTACCCCCTCTCTCCAACCCTTTCGAGGAGACCCCTACCCCGCCTTCCTTCCCCTATAGATTTATATGCTTTCCATGTCATTCTACTTTGATCCATTCTCTTAAATGACCAAAACCAAACCCCAACAAACCCTCTTCAGCCCTCTGACTAATAAATTTTTATTAACTCCACACCTTCTCCTAATTTTCCACACTCCGAATTTTCCCGCATAATATTTACACCACACATTGCCCTAAACAGGACATCTCCACTGCCCCCCAACCGTCTCCTCGCTGCTGCATTTACCACCCAAGCTTCACACCCATATAGAGTGTTGGTACTACTATACTTTCATACATTCCCTTCTTTGCCTCCATAGATAACGTTTTTTCACTCCACATATACCTCAACGCACCACTCACCCTTTTTTCCCTCATCCAATTCTATGATTAACCTCATCCTTCATAAATCCATCCGCCGACACGTCAACTCCCAAGTAAACTGAAAACATTCACTTCTTCCATACTCCTCCTCCCCAATTTGATATCCAATTTTTCTTTATCTAAATCATTTGACACCCTCATCACCTTACTCTTTTCTATGTTTTACTTTCAACTTTCTACCTTTACACCCCATTCCCAAACTCATCCACTAACCTTTGCAATTTTTTTTTAGAACTCCCATAAGCACAGTATCATCAGCAAAACGTAACTGTGTCAATTCCCATTTTGAATTTGATTCCCAAAATTTAATCCCACCCCTTTCCCAAACACCCTAGCATTTACTTCCTTTACAACCCCATCTATAAATATATTAAACAACCATGGTGACATTACACATCCCTGTCTAAAACCTACTTTTACCGGGAAGTAGTCCTCCCTCTCTTCTACACACCCTAACCTGAGCCTCACTATCCTCATAAAAACTCTTTACAGCATTTAATAACTTACCACCTATTCCATATATTTTGCAACATCTGCCACATTGCTCCTCTATCCACTCTATCAAATGCATTTTCTAAATCCATAAATGCAATAAAAACTTCCCTACCTTTATCTAAATACTGTTCACATAAAATGCTTCAATGTAAACACTTGATCTACACATCCCCTACCCACTCTAAAACCTCCTTGTTTCATCCGCAATCCTACATTCTGTCTTACCTCTAATTCTTAAATTATAACCCTACCGAACACTTTTCCTGGAAATACTCATAAGCTTATTCCTCTATAATTTTTACAGTCTCTTTTGTCCCCTTTCCCCTTTATATAAAGGGACTATACATCCCTTCTCCCCAATCCCTAGGTCCCTTTTCTCCTCTTTCAAACATTTATTAAACAAAAGTACCAACCACTCCAACACTATATCCCCCCCTGCTTTTAACATTTCTGTCATGATCCCATCATTTTCCAGCTGCTTTAACCCCCTTTCATTTTACGTAATGCCTCACGAAACCTCCCCCACACTTAAAATTCTGCCTTCTTCACTCCTAAAAAGATGGTATACCTCCCTGACCAGTGCATGAAATTAACCCCTCTGTTTCTTCCTTAACATTTAAAATTCCTCAAAATATTCTCGCCATCTACCCAATTACCCCCATCTCCCCACTACTAACTCCCCTACTGTTTTAAAATGACAAATCCATATTTCCCTAGGCTTTCTTAACTTTTTTTAACTCACTCCAAATTTTTTCTTATTTTCATTGAAATTTCTTGACAGTGCCTCTCCCACTCTATCATCTGCTCTCCTTTTGCACTCTCTCCCCCACTCTCTTTACCTTTCTTTTACTCTCCATATACTCTGCTCTTCTTAATAACACTTCTGCTTTGTAAAAACCTCTCATAAGCTAACCTTTTTCTTTTTAAATCACACCCTTTACTTCATCATTCCACCAAATTTCACATTCCCTCTTTCCTCCTGCCCCCACCCTCCTATAACCACAAATTCTGCCCCACATTCTAATAACTGCATTTTTAAAAACTATTCAACCCTCTTCAACCCCCCCACTACTCATCTTTGCACTAGCCCACCTTTCTGCCAATAGTCGCTTATATCTCACCCCGAACTTCCTCCTCCCTTATTTATAACATTTTCACCTCCCTCTTACTTGTTTTTTGGCCACCTTCCTCTTTTCCCAATCAAACCTCTTACTCTAACTGTAGCTACAACTAAATAATGATCCGATATATCAGTTGCCCCCTCTATAAACATGTAAAATCCTGGACCTACCCATCAACCTTTTATCCACCAATACATAATCTAATAAACTACTTTCATTACGTGCTACATCATCCCTTTGTATATTTATTTATCCTCTTTTCAAAAATATGTATTACTTATTACAAAATTTTCTTTCTACACATAGCTCAATTAAAGGCTCCCCATTTACTTTTTACCCCTGGCACCCCCAAATTTACCTACTAACTTACTCCCTCCATAACATTTTTTTCCCACTTTAACATTGAAACCCCCAACCACCATTACTCTCACACTTGATTCAAAACTCCCACGCATTCACTCAACATTTCCCAAAATCTCTCTCTCTCCCCCCTACACTTCTCTCTTCTCCAGGTGCATACACGCTTATTATAACCCACTTTTCACATCCAATCTTTATTTTACTCCACATAATCCTTGAATTTATACATTTATAGCCCCCTCTTTTCCTCCCATAGCTTTTTCCTTCAACATTATTGCTACTCCTTCTTTAGCTCTAACTCTATTTGAAACCCCTGACCAAATCCCTTTATTCCTCTCCACTGAAACTCTCCCACCCCCTTCAGTTTTGTTTCACTTAAAGCCAGGACATCCAGCTTCTTCTCATTCATAACATCCACAATCATCTCTTTCTTATAAATCTGCACAACATCCACGCACATTCAGACTTCCCACTTTGACAATTTTCTTCTTTATTTTTTTAGTAATCTTTACGGGAAAAAGGGGGTTACTAGCCCATTTTTCCCCGGGCATTTTAGTTGACTTTTACAACACGCATGGCTTATGGAGGAAAGATTCTTATTCCACTTCCCCATGGATATAAAAGGAAAAGTAATAAGACCAAGAACTATTAAGATAAAATCAAAGAAAACTCAGATGAGTGTGTATAAATAAATGTGTACATGTATGTGTAGTGTGACCTAAGTGTAAGTAGAAGTAGCAAAACATGCCTGTAATCTTGCATATTTATGAGACAGACAAAAGACATCAGCAATCCTACCATCATGTAAAACAATTACAGGCTTTCGTTTTACACTCACTTGGCAGGACGGTAGTACCTCCCTGGGTGGTTGTTGTCTACCAACCTACTACCTGTATATATTACTAAATTTGAAAGGAGAAACTTTCGTTTTTCCTTTTGGGCCACCCCACCTTGGTGGGATACGGCTGGTACGTTAAAAGAAGAAGATGAATGTATATACACACCCCTCTGGGTTTTCTTCTATTTTCTTTCTAGTTCTTGTTCTTGTTTATTTCCTCTTATCTCCATTGGGAAGTGGAACAGAATTCTTCCTCCGTCAGGTATGCGTGTTGTAAGAGGCGACTAAATGCCGGGAGCAAGGGGCTAGTAACCCCTTCTCCTGTACAGATTACTAAATTTAAAAAGAAAAACTAAAGTTTTTGGGCCACCCTGCCTTGGTGGGATACGGCCGGTTTGTTGAAAAAAAAATTAAGGTAATAATATATACAAGTAACTATAAAAAGAAAGGTGGGTTAGAGAGGGTACAAGTAATGAGGTGGTCAGATAGATGTGGGGTAGATTGAAGAATGCAGTGTTGTTGTGTTCAACATAAGTTTGTAAGTATAGGAGGATGGGAAGAGGAACGATTGGTAGGATGGTGTAGTAATTTAGAGGGTGATAATGTAGAAATAGTTAGCATATGAGAGTCTTACAGCACAGAAATTGTATATGGGAGTAGAGTAAATGGAGAGAAAGAATGTTACGGGAGTGCAAGAATGGGTGAAGTTTTATCAACAAATTTTGTTGAGAACAAGAAAAAAATCTTAGATTAAAAAGTTAAGAAAGCCTAAAGAACAAATGAAGTTGGCTGTTTAAAGCAAAAGAGGGGTGATGTTAGGTTCTGGGAAGATTTTGAGGAGCTATTAAATGTTGAAGAAAGAGAGGCAGCCATTTCATGCATTGGGCAGGGAAGTATAACTTCTTGGAAAAGTAAGGAAGAACCAGGTTTGAGTGAGGAAAAAGTGCATGAGGCAGTGGGTAGAATGAAATGGGGTAAAGCAGCTGAGAGAGCTGGGATTAAGACAGAGATGTTAAAAGTAAATGGGGATGTAGTTTTGGAGTGGTTGGTGCATTTGTTCAATATGTGCATGAAAGAAGGATAGGCAGAGGGCATGGATATTTCCTTTGTATAAAGGAAAGGGATGAGAGAAAGAGAGAGAGAGAGAGAGTAAAAGTTAAGGGAATAAGCTTAAGTATAACAGGTAAAGGGTGTGATAGAATTATTATTGAAAGAGTTAATAATAAGACAAGGATTATACTGGAGCATGGAGGATTTAGGAAGTTTCAAGATGTGTAGACCATGTATTTTATGTGGAAAAAGACACTTATGTACAGTTCAGTGTCTTTTTCCACATCTTGTCAGTATCACCATACCATTTCCTCATGTATTTTATATTGAAGGACAAGTGAAAAATACTTAAGGGTAAGGAACTTTTTGTTGAATTTATGTATTTAAAAAAATTCATGTGAAAGGGTGGCTAGGGAAGCAGTGTGGCATATTTAAATGTATGGAAAAGGTAGTAGGTTACTAAAAGCAGTGAAGAGTTTTTATGGGTATAATGAGGCTCATGGAGTGAATAGTGAGAAAGAGAGGGAGGCACCCCAACTGCTACCCACATCTATGCAAAACTTCATTCCTCCCACACCACACACTCAGCCACGGTAGTGAGCATATGTAAAGAGAAATATTATTAGATTTAGCACTGGAGAGGGTGGAAGTGAAAAGTACAGAGAAGCCAAAAGCAGGATATAGTTTTGCTGCTGTTTGCCCCTTCACATGTGGTGTTCTTCACTGTAGTTTATATTGTACTGTAACTCTGGTCTGTTTAATTATCAAATATTGTGATATTAAGCAATGGTTAAAGTACTACAGTATTTGGTAGTAAAAAATTAAACTTGATTAGATATGGAATATTATGGCTCAAGAAAAATTCTCCGATTGTAATACGGGGTTCTATGGAAAAATTGAACTCTGATACATGAACAGTCAACTCTGGGTGAATTGTAAGAAATGCATTCAGTATGTACAAATAAAAATTGTGTAAGTAGGATTAAAATCATGATGCAGTGGAATGAAATTAATAAGATAACAGTAAACATAATTTTATAGTAATTAAAGCAATTTTATTTTAATTGAATTACATGCTTTAGCTATTTTAGCACACAGTACAGTATTTTTTTAAGCCTCAGTTTAAATTTTTTTAGTGATATAATTTTTTAATTCATCTGGTAAGTTGGTGAGTAAGACAATGATAGCAGAGGACTGTTGTACAGTTTTACCACAAATTGTCATTATAAAGTTCCTAAAAGAAAATCACAACTTACATAATAAATATGGAAGTCAAGTGTTGAGTGTGTGAGGTTCAAGGTGTCAGGTCTTGAGTGTGTGAGGTTCAAGGTGCCAGGTCTTGAGTGTATGAGGTTCTAGGTGCCAGGTGTTGAGTGGGTGACCTAAAAGCAGTAGGGATGCACTGCAGTAGGCCTGTCAGCTCATGCTAGGTTTATTCTAATGTTATGTGAACTATAGGCATGGATAAAATAAACATTCCACTATTTATCTGTGCCCATAGCCCAGATCATAGCTGTTAGAACAAACAAAACCTTAGCATGAACCAGGAAGTGGCCTGCTGATGATGATGACTAACTCTCAGGTAAGAAGAGAGGGGGAAAGTTAGGACAGGCAGAGTAGTGCCAGAGGTAGGATTTAACCCAGCAGCTGAGCATTTTATGGCATGAACTTGCATCTACCAGCTATTTCCAACCAAAGTTCATAGTGTTGAGTTTACTGTTCTACTTGGAATGGCCTACTTTAAAAAAAATTTGAACACTTCTTTTGGAAGGTACACGAGTTGTGCATAATTGTCAGAGCCTCCAGTGAATAGTTTCTCAAAGTTTTGGACTTGTCTTGTGAAATTGTACGAGTCAGCGGAGGTGTATTTGACAGTTCCATTGCAGAGTCGAGGGTGGATTTCTTTGGCAGACATTGTGTTCTTGTTTGAGGATGTGGTGAAGAATCATAGGTTTTTCAAGATGAGGGCAAGGTATGGTTGTTTATTTCAGTTTCTTCTTCTTCAGAGGTGTGAGAGTCTTGATATTCTTGTGGAGTTGCAGTGGGTGTGAAGATGATGGTAGGCTGGGCATGCAGGGTGACTTAGGCAGCTGTGATTGGAAGATCTGATGGGGTAGTGATGCCTTCTATGCTGGAGATTTTCAGTATATCTACTGATGGTACAGTGTCAGGATAATTGAAGCTGGGAAGATTATTGAAGCAGAAGAGTTCATTTATTTTAGAGTTGAAGGTTCCAGGGAAGGTGGCATTTATCATGTGGACATCATCTGGGAGTGTTGGAATAAAGTTGGTAGTAGAGACTGTTGGGTAGCTTGGTGAATTCTTCATGTGTCAGTTTAAAGTCCAGTGATTGCAGCATATACTTGGAGGGTGGTCTGGGGATCAATACCCCTGCAGCCCAGTCCATGATCAGGCCTCATGGACCTGATCAACCAGGCTGTTATTGCTGGCCACATGCAAACTGGTATTGAGGAGATTGGACACTACACTGGTACTAAGGAGGTTGGGCAATTTCACCTGCTGGGTGGTCATCAGGATTGATGCCAGTCTCTCATTATGTCTGAGGTGGTACCACAAAGCAGGTGAATATGCACATGGTGTGCCATGATAATGATGCTGACAGCCTAGGAGATAGCAGACTCAGTGAGGTAATGTGATCTCTTGGTTCTAGTGACTCCTGCTTTAATGCTTCTCTGCTGTTTTTATCTCATCCACTCAACACCTGACATGACAGACCATACACTCTCAGCACCTGACTTCACTGATGTAGTGCTATATAATTTGAAATTTTCTGTTATGCTTTATGTACTTGACAAAGCCAATTTGTGGTGAAACATTGTACAATAAAAAATTCTCTGCACTCGAGTGCTCTACCATACTGTTGGCATTTTGCCATCTTTCTGAAAGACGTCTAGTTATTCCACATTTTTGGCTCCTTATTTTTCTTGGGTCTGTAAAGGTTCAAGTGCACACAAAGAACATCGGCAGTATTTGCTTCTAATGTTATGCTTGTGTGATACAATTTTCCTGAGTGTGTCTTAGGCCAATATTAGCTTTACATTGCAGTGTTCTAATGATGTGAAGTGAACAGTAGTATGAATGGCATTTATATTAAGAAGGTCTGGGAAATTGAATAAGGGCGTGGTACGTTGCCTGTAACTGTCCTATTAAAGCTTATTGATCTGACATAGCCAACTTCAAATAGCACCAAAAATGCAAGTACACCAAACTTTGTATTCTATAATATGTAATACAGCATAAGGAGAAAATAGAATGAGAGTTCTTCAAGGATGTTTCATGCTATGGTCTAATATTGTGATGGGAGTTCCTGTAAGGAATTTTCCTGGTTTCAATTACAGCCTCTCCTCGCTTCATGAAGGAGTTTCGTTCCTAAGACCATATCGGTAAATGAATTTGTTGCTAAGTGAAGAGCATACTATAATGGTAGTGGGTTTGTGTCAACCATCATTTGATAATGTTTTAATATTGCCTTTACCTTTGCATCTTTTTTTTTTTTTTATATATATATTCGTTTATAACATTTCTGGTATACAGTGGTACCTGGGGATACAAATAGCTCAAAACTCGAACAGTTATGTAAGTGTATTTATGTAAGTGCTTTTGTAAGTGTATTTTGGGGGGTTTGAAACGGGTTAATCTAATTTACATTATTCCTCATGGGAACAAGTTCGTTCGGTATCAGCATTCGAACGGCCTTCTGGAACGAAATAAATTCATATCTCGAGGTACCCCTGTACTTTTAAATGTTTATACAGTAGTGTACTGTATATTGTAATAAACAGAATAGAGGAAATCAGCTTTAATATACATTATTTAGGTATGCATACTGGTCAGAGAGCCCGTCGTAAGTCCAAGTCATCGGTAAACAAGTTCATCACTAAGTGAGGAGAGGCTGTATTTATTTAAATAAAAATTATTTTGGTTTAACCAAGTCTTTGATTTCCTTTGAGTGACAGTTCATTTAATATAATTACATGAAGGGAAAAACCTATATGGGTTGCTTGGCACAAGTAGTTAACAGCTGGAGCCTCTGGCCATCTAAGCACATGAGAGATGCTCTGTACTTTACATGACTTCCCTAGAATTTTTTTGACAATTTGGAAGGTCAATCTTTGCAGGCGCCCCTCATCCCTTTGCATTCAACTTTGGTTATGCCGCATTTCTAGTATAAAAGTCAAGATGTCAGTTTATGCTACGTCCCTGGACATGTTCATGTTTGGGGCAATAACCAAGTAGACTCAGCTGTTCGTGACCTCCCAGTTTCTCACAGGGGTATTCCTTAATCAGATTGCTTTTCTAGTGATCTCTCAATAACTTCACAACCAGTGGCAAAATTGTTGATCCACAACAAATCAAGTCATAGGGCTTCACAAAGCTGGACACCAGACGAAAGGAATAGCGGCGAATGTTAGCGTGTGTGAGCATTCATTGAGGAACTTGGTGCAGCATTTCAAGGCTGGTGGCAGTGTCGAGTTATCGTCTGCCAAACCTCGGCCTGGCCCCTCCAACAAGACATCTGTTCATACCTTAACTGTGTTAAAGAAGCAGTTAGAGAGTAGCTTCTTCTTTAACATAGTTGAGGTACAAACAGATGTCTTCTTCGAGGGGCTAGGCCAAGGTTTGGCAGACGGTAACTCGGCACCGCCACCAGCCTTGAAACGCTGCACCTAGTTCCTCGATGAACGTTCACACACACTAACATTCTCCATTATTTTTTTCATCTGGTGCCCAGCTTTGTGAAGCCCTATGACTTTGCAAAAGATGGGACGGATGAGAGACAGAAGTGCAACACTTCCTCTCACCATGGCAGCCACGTGAGCAATGAGAAGTCACTGTGAAGTGTGGTGGAAAGCCGTGGCGTCATGTTAATGGCTGCTACCCAGCAGAATGCACTGAAGAAAAAAGACCCCTCTGTATGGGAGGCCTTTGGTTTTCATCACGGCATTATGCCGCGGCACTCACCCAGCATAATGCCATGACGAGCACTGTAAATGCTGCCATGTACTCGCCTATATTAGCTGCAGAAATTGGGGCTTAGCTCCTGACCCCCACATCTTACTGAGGTCGGTGGTCACATGTGGTCATACTGCCCTAAGCTGTCTGGGATTAGTGTGAGGTGTTGCCTAGCACCATGGCTTGTTGTAGTGTTTTAGAATCTCACGTTAAATTGTTGAAGATGATGATTCTACTTCTTCAGGAGGAAAATAGGAGGCTGAAGCTTCATCTAGATGGGTTTGGGAATGAGTGCGAAATAGTTGTAACTGGTGAGGAGGAAAAGTTACCAGCAGTGATTTGGAGAGTGGCTGCCGCCTTTAGTGGCAAGTGGTTCAGAATTCAGGAAGAAGGATGATAAGGAAGGTTAATAGAGAAGATGTGATGGTAGGAAATCGATTCTCTGTTCTCCAGGACCATTGTACTTCGGTGATTACTGAGATTAAAGGTACCACTGACTCCCCTGCTTATCAAGGTAAGAATATTATAATTGTGGGAGATTCTCAGGTAAGATATATGGACCGTGCTTTTTGTAACAGATAGAAAGGTCAGACAGAGGGTGTGCCTCCCAGGAGCTGGTGTTGGTGACATAGATGGTTGAATGATAATATGTCAGGCAATGGGAACAAGCCCATTATCTGTCTTAGTGCTAGTGGAAATGTCATCAGGAATGGCAGGAGACAGGAGCTGCTGGATAAATATAGGTCACCCATAGATGTAGTCAGGTCTAAGGGAAGGATCCCAATCGTATGTAGCATCTTGCCTAGAGAGGGAGTGGGCAATGAATGGATGTCTAGGGCAATTGGTATAAATTGCTGGCTAGACAGGTACTGCAAGGAACTTGTAATCCCATTCATTGATAACTGGGACATATTCTATGGCAAACATGATATGTATGCAAGGGATGGGGTTCATCTCTCTTGGGCTGGAGTGGTTGCATTAACCAATTCAATTGAGAGGGTTATTGGTGACTTGTCTAGGACTTTAAACTGATAGATTGTAATTGTATGGGTGTTTGTGGGAAACAATCAGGCTGCAGTACCAGGGTTGAAAACAGCAGATATAACCAGGATACCTCAGGGATATGTTTAACCTGGAGTTTACCTGGAGAGAGTTTCGGGGGTCAACACCCCTGTGGCCCGGTCTGTGACCAGGCCTCCTGGTGGATCAGCCCCTGATCAACCAGGCTGTTGCTGCTGGCTGCACGCAAACCAACGTACGAGCCACAGCCCGGCTGATCAGGAACTGACTTTAGGTGCTTGTCCAGTGCCAGCTTGAAGACTGCCAGGGGTCTGTTGGTAATCCCCTTATTCTGAGCATTACGTCTCGGGCCCTGACACTTATTGTATGGTTCTACGTGCTAGTGACACCCCTGCTTTTCATTGGGGGGATGGTGCATCGTCTGCCAAGTCTTTTGCTTTCGTAGTGAGTGATTTTCGTGTGCAAGTTCGGTACTAGTCCCTCTAGGATTTTCCAGGTGTATATAATCATGTATCTCTCCCTCCTGCGTTCCAGGGAATACAGGTTTAGAAACCTCAAGCGCTCCCAGTAATTGAGGTGTTTTATCTCCGTTATGCGTGCCGTGAAAGTTCTCTGTACATTTTCTAGGTCGGCAATTTCACCTGCCTTGAAAGGTGCTGTTAGAGTGCAGCAATATTCCAGCCTAGATAGAACAAGTGACCTAAAGAGTGTCATCAATATTCAAAATAAAGTTGCTAGTAAAGGCAAAGCAATTGATCAAACAAAGACAGTAGAGGGCAACAAGTGACTAGCTCCCTTAAGGTTTACTATACAAATAGTAGGAGTCTAAGAAATAAGATAGATGAGCTAAGATTACTTGCAAGTGCAGGTAATATAGATGATATTGCTATAACAGAGACCTGGTTCAATTTGAAAGGTAGAGAAATGCCTTCTGAAAGCAACATACAGGGTTATAAACTATTCCATACTGATAGGGTCAACAGGAAGGGTTGTGGAGTGGCGATGTATGTCAGAGATTATTTAAATTGTTGTGTTAGACAAGATATAAGATTAGAAACATCGGACACAATCTGTTTGGCTACAGTTTCTCGAGGATCTTGAAAAGTTAATTTTGGGTGTAATTTATAGGCCCCCCAAACCTTGACAGAGAGTGCAGTAAGCTGCTATGGGACGAAATTCATAAGGCATCTTGGTATGAAAATGTTGTGTTAATGGGAGGTTTTTAACTTTAGACAAATTGATTGGAACATTGTGACATGGAATCTCGAGTCTAGTGACTTTCTTGATACAGTTCAGGATTGCTTTTTAAAACAGTTTGTGACAGAACCAACTAGAGAAAACAACCTGCTCGACTTGGTTCTTGCCATCAAAGAATCACTAATTAATAATCTTGAGGTTAATGATGAGCTTGGAGAAAGCAATCACAAATCACCTAGTTTCAATATATCATGGAATTACCCAGGTAACTGCAATCAAGTCTGTCCCAGACTTCCGCTTGGCCGATTTCATGGCATTTAGAAATTACCTGGGTGGGCTAATTTGGGATGACCTGACCATGGGTCAGGTTGGTGGTGGTGGTTGCCAATATGACGTTTTTCAGAGCATAGTTCTAACTGCCCAGACAACTTTTGTTCCGAGTAGGGAAATTAGATCTAACAAAAATGATACCAAATGGATGAACAATAGATTAACACATCTCATTGGTCAAAAGAGAGGCATATATAGGTGCATCAACAGAGGGGATGGGCAGTTAAGAAATCAATATATTCAATTAAAGAAAAAAAAGGAATGAGAAAAGCTAAATGGGATTATGAGGCTAAGGTCGCAAGGGACTCTAAGACTAACCCAAAAGGGTTCTTTCAGGTATACAGAAGTAAGATTAGAGACAAGATAGGCCCACTTAAGAGTAACTCTGGTCAGATCACTGACTGATAAGGATGTGTGTGAAATTTTCAATACTTACTTCCTCTCAGTTTTTACCCAGGAAGATACTAGTGAAATTCCAGAAATGATAAATTATGTAGACCAGGACGATAGTAAACTATGCACGATTGGAGTAACTAGTGACATGGTCCTCAGACAAATAGAGAAATTAAAACCTAACAAATCCCCAGGCCCTTATGAATTGTTTGTAAGAGTTTTGAAGGAATGTAAAGAAGAACTTAGCAAACCATTGGCTAATTTTACAAATTTGCTAACTTGTTTCACTAAGGTATTTGAGGAGGTAGATCGTGGTATTGAATATGATACTGTGTATATGCGCCTCAGTAAGGCTTTCGATAGAGTTCCGCATCAGAAGCTATTGAGGAAACTTAAGCACACGGAATAGGAGAAATTTTTTCCTGGGTGGAGGCATGGTTGGCAAATAGGCAGCAGAGAGTTTACATAAATGGGGAGAAATCAGAGTGGGGGCACATCACAAGAGGTGTTCCACAGGGATCAGTATTGGGCCCCTTGTTCACAATTTACATAAACGACATAGATGAGGGAATAAATAGCGACAAGCAAATTTGCTGATGACGCCAAAATAGGCCGTCAAATTCATTCTAATGAGGACATTAGAGCACTCCAAGATGATTTGAATAGACATGCAATGGTCAGAGAAGTGGCATATGCAGTTTATTATAGACAAATGCAAAGTTCTAAATGTTGGAAAGGATAATAACCATTTCACATATAAACTAAATAATGTAGATCTTAATATTACTGATGGCAAAAAAGATTTAGGAGTTCTGGTTAGCAGTAACCTGAAACCAAGACAACAGTGCATAAGTGTTCGCAATAAAGCTGACAGAATCCTTGGTTTCATATCAAGTAGCATAAATAATAGAAATCCTCAGGTTGTTCTTCAACTCTATATATCCTTGGTTAGGCCTCATTTACATTATGCTGCACAGTTCTGGTCACTGTATTACAGAATGGATATAAATGGATATAAATGCCCTGGAAAACGT